CCACCACCCAGGAAAAAAGAAGTGCCACCATGTGATACTATAGCATCATTATAGTACATGCAGTCATCTATGCCAAAATTTCCCCACATCATATATGTTAGTTAGCGAATAACACAAAAACACGTCATGAAAGGCCCATCAAATCACCACATTATAAATAAAGGTAAAATACACTCCATCATCTCCCTACCCGCCAAGCTAAATATTCTATCGTTCTAGAATATAAGGGGTATTTAGTTTTTTGGAAAGTCACAATTTTTTTAACTTTGACCAAGTTCACAGAAAAAATATCGAGATCCACAATATTAAAAAAATGTACGAAATTTTATTTGATGATGAATCCTCTATAACACTATTCTCCCTAGTTTTAAAGAGCCCACATTCAATTGAGGTCTCCAATTGGAATTGGTTCACCCTATTTTACCGGGTCAACAATTTCTCAAAGCTCTCTCATTTAATTCTATTATACTATAACACTATGCTTCCCAATTTTAAGGCCTCATAATTAATTAATGTCTTCAATTTAGAATTGGGTCACCCTGTTTTGACTAGGTCAACAAGTTCTCAAGGAGCTCTCCCACTCAATTCTTTTAATTCCATATGTTTCCTAATTTTGATGCTCTTTCATTCAATTGAGGTATTCAGTTTTAAATTTGGTTTACGATTTTGACTGGGCCAATGATTTTTCAAATCAGTCAGCAACAGCCGGTCTATAAAAATATATCAATCCCGTGCGTCATCCCACCACCCAAAAAAAGAAGTGCCACCATGTGATACTATATCATCGTTGTAGTACAGGCAGCCATCTATGCCAAAATTTCCCCACATAATATATGTTGGTTAGCGAATAACACAAAACCACGCCACGAAAGGCCCATCAAATCACTGCATTATAAATAAAAATAAAATACACTCCATCATCTACCCCACCCGCCAAACTAAATATTATATCATTCCAGAATATAAGGGGCGTTGTTTTTTGGAAAGTCGCCTTTCTTTAACTTTGACCAAGTTCAGAGAAAGAAAAATATTGAGATCCACAATATTAAACAAAAACGTATGAAAGTTCATTTGATGGTAAATCCTCTATAACACTATGCTCCCTAGTTTTAAAGAGCCACAGTCAATTGAGGTCTCCAATTGGAATTGGGTCACCTGACTTTATCGGGTCAACAATTTCTGAAAGCTCTCTCATTTAGTTCTATTATACTATACACTATGCTTCCTAATTTTTAAGGCCTCGCAATTAATTGAGGTCTTCAATTTAGAATTGGGTCACCCAATTTTAACTGGATCAACAATTTCTCAAGGAGCTCTCTCACTCAATTCTTTGAATTCCATATGTTTCCTAATTTTGATGCTCTTTCATTCAGTTGAGGTATTCAGTTTAAAATTGGTTTACGATTTTGACTAGGCCAATGATTTTTCAAATCAGTCAGCAACAACCGGTCTATAAAAATATATCTATCCCATGCATCTTCCCACCACCCAGAAAAAAGAAGTGCCACCATGTGAACTATAGCATCATTATAGTACATGCAGTCATCTATGCCTTCCCCACATAATATATATTGGTTAGCGAATAACACAAAACCACGCCACCAAAGGCCCATCAAATCACCGTATTATAATAAAAATAAAACACACTCCATCATCTCCCCTACCCACCAAACTAAACATTCTATCGTTCTATAATATAAGGAGTATTAGTTTTTCGGAAAGTCACATTTCTTTAACTTTGACCAAGTTCAGAGAAAAAACACAAAACCACGCCACGAAAGGCCCATTAAATCACCATATTATAATAAAAATAAAACACACTCCATCATCTCCCCTACCCACCAAACTAAATATTCTATCGTTACATAATATAAGGAGTATTAGTTTTTTGGAAAGTCACATCTCTTTAACTTTGACCAAGTTCAGAGGAAAAATATCGAGATCCACAATATTAAACAAAAAAGTATGAAAATCCATTTGATGATGAATCTAATTATACCAATTTGATATATTTCTCTACAAATTTGATCAAACTTAAAATGTTTGACTTTTGAAAAAAGTAACACACCTTATATTTTGTAACAGAGCGAGTAATTCTTTTTAAGAAACCCAACAACAACAACGGCGCAGCAAGGCGCACCCAACCCTTCTAGTTAATATTATACCAGATATTAACGTTGTTTTCCTTCAAAATAATTTATTAATGTATGTGCTAATCACATAATTAACACTTTTTGCGACTTTACTCGTAATCACATAAAATGCAATTAATTTTTTTCTTAATATCAATTTGCAATGCACGTACACATTTACTAGTCAAAGTTAAATCAAATAAATGAGTTTAAGTGAGAAAGGGCAGAATCATCAACATTAGAAATTATGGTCAAATCTGCAAAGTCCAAAGTAAGCACGGCGCTAAAACTCGAATCCCCCTCATCTTCAGGCTTCATTTGGATGCTAGGTGGGATATTTCCAGGGAATGGATGCCCCGGTTAGAATTTTCTTTGCCAACTAGAAGACCCGTGGAAAACTGGGACGCAGCTTCAGTGACTTTATGAAGCTAAGTCTCATCGTACCTTAGCCCTCTCTATCAGCCATTCATTGAAGATCCGACGTACCAGATTGACTCATATTCTAAACGAAATTTTTAAAACTGTTCAGAAAAAATTGAAAAAAATCTAATAAATCATAAATATTTCGTCTTATAATCTGGGAAAGTTTCAACCCAGTTGGATGTATGATTTGTGATTAAATTGCCTTTTGAGTGCAAATAAATAAAAAAAATGTTTATTCACAAACGATGCAATGTTTCGTTTTATAATCTGGGAAAGTTTCAACCCAGTTGGATGTATGATTTGTGATTAAATAGCCTTTTGAGCGCAAATAAATAAAAAATGTTTATTCACAAACGATACATCCAAATGAATTGAAATTTTCATAGAATACAAAACGAAACATTTATGATTTATTGGAATTTTTTCAATTTTTTCTAAACAGTTTTGAAAAATTCGTATGAAAATTGGATTAATCTGGTATGTCGGATAGAGGGGGCTAAGTTACAGTGAGACTTAGCTTCACAAAGTCACTGAAGCTGCGTCCGGAAAACTGGCACCATCGTTTGGTTCAAAGGGGCGATCCACAATCAGAGCAGAACACGATGAATCGAAGCAACGCCATTAATTCGACCATTACCCGTAGGCTTCATGCCACATCTAGGCGCACCACCGTCGATGGAGGGTTCCTAGTTCTTACTTCTTAGCCACGTACATCCGGATCTTGCTGCTGGTGAGCCCCTATGGACATGCATCCCCTCTGTCATTGTCGTCTTCATGGCCGGCGAGGATGCCGGATGCGGAGGCCCCTGCAGAGACCGAGAGGAGAGTCATGGGAGAGAGGCGGCGGGCCGCGTGGTGGAGGTTCAGAGAAGAGTGTGCCATGGAAGGGAGGCGGCGGCCGCGTGGGGGAGAGAGGCGTCGCGAGCGAGTGAGACGGGAGAATTTTTCATGATCTCGTCAGGTGTGGATTCTATCCCGGGGAAATGATGGGGATCGGGTCGAGAAAACCTCGTGGGTTTGAGCGTCCAAATGTCCAGGGACCTGGTCCAGGGCTGATTTTCGATGCGGGGTATCCACCCAGGGAATGGGCCGGTATCCCAGGAGGATCCCCTTGCTACGTACCAAATGAGCCCTAAAAGAAAGAACCCCGCCTCATCATAACACAAGAGAGATGGGGCGTTGTGCGGTTGTGAGAGGGAAAGGTCAGGAGATGCTCTGTGGGTGTGTTGATCCGAGGGGCAAATTTTCAGCCTGGTGGATCGAACGGCCAGAAACGTGTCGCTCAGGAAGACGGACGAACTGAGTGAACTGATGTTCGCACAATATGTGTTAAACAAAAAGACGTTCAGGCAAGAATTTAGGGTGAACGTTAATCAATTTTGCAGATATGGAATTTAGGACATCAGCAAGAGTTGCTTTGAGACAAAAAGCCGCACTGTTTCGCGCGCGTGGGTGTCTTGTTCGTTCATCTCGCTCGCCTAATCTCAATCCCTAGCTGCCCCCGACCAGAACGCACGATCGCTCCCGCCGCCTGCACCGAAACCCTAAACGGTCGCGATGTTACCCTACATTGGTGACGGCTCCTGTTCTGATGCGCTCTGATCCTATGGGCCTTATCACGCCTTTTTGTTCGCATGTGTCTCGTTCGTTCATCTCGCTCGCCCGTTCTCAATCCCTAGTCGTCCCCGACTTGTTTGCCAGGGTTCTTGTGTTGCCGCCGCCACCACGGTCGTCATCTGAGAAATTTAGGTCCCCTCGCCTCCGGCTGCCATCTTGGCGCCGAGAGATGGGGAAACCTCGGATCTTCAAGGCCTCTATGTTCTTTGCCATCATCTAGTGATCATCATAGTTTTGTGAGAATAAACTTCCTCATGCTCTTTTGGTGGTGCCATGATATTAGAGAGTTTTCTGCCCTCGCAGATCTGATTATTCAGATCTGATGAGTTTATGTTGTTGTGTCAAGTCTTTTGCTGGTCTGATTCTTTGTGGAGATGAAATTTTTGGTCGACGCCAGGGTGAAGATATAGTGATTCAACGGCCTGCACTTCTAGGGGATCATCCCTGGACCAAGTACGTTCATCGATCAAGGCCTCCCATCTTTTTGGATGGGCGACTCAAGGTATTTTCAAAAATCATTATTGATAATGTTTGTGCAGATGAAAGAGTGACAACATCATTGCTCCAGTCCAATTGCAGCCTCTTTACCGAAGTTTTTGGAGTATTTCTCCGAGCATAGATTGACATCATGAAGGTGTTTTTAAAAGATTTTATTGTAATTTTTAATCATAGGAGTTACTTCGTATTTTATTGGATCTTAAGTCCAAATCAATGTACATGTAATTATTATGAGTATGAATAGAGTTACAGGTATTTTAAAAAAAAGTTATCCCTGGCTAAAACACACGATCGCTACCGCCGCCGGCAACGAAACCCTAAACGGCCGCGATGTTACCAGCCGAGGCGCCATACCTTCCTGCAGGGCGCTACCCCCGTGATCCGGCCGACTTAACATACCCCTCCGACCTATTTGGTCCCGCGCCCCAGCGTCTCCACGATCCTAGCGAGCAGCATCAGGAGGTGGTGGTGGAGGGGGAGGTGGTGGCGGCAGCGGAGGAGAAGCAAGGGATCGGCTCCATCTTTTCCTCTATCGACAAACATGATGATCCGGCGCTCAAGGCCGAGGGTACGTACACTCCTCCATATTTTCAATTAATCTTCGTAGCGGTCGCTTTTCAATCCGCCGACTCAACTAGGCATCCTTTGCCAAATTATTTTTGTAGCTTCAGAGCCACCTATTCTTCACTGGGACGACGTCTGCCTATCCGACAGCGACGATGATTTAGTTGACCAGCTCAACTTGGCCGACTTGGCCGGCTTGGCCCTGGCGCACTCTGACGACGATGAGGAGGAAGGGGTGACAGACGGCGAGGAGACAAATTGCCCAGACAGGCCATTCTCCAGAACTGCGACGATTTGATCTCCAACCAAAAACGATTAATTGCCGCTTGATTGATGCTACATTGATTATATCCTGCAGGGAAGAAATTTCCCAGGGAGAAAGCCAAACTGATACAGACGGTGTGGGTAAGGAGTGACATCAAACAGAACGAAGAACACAGAGAGCTGTGCAAGATGCTTCTAGATCTAGGACATGAGTGGTCTGCCCTTCCTCCTTTTCCTATGAAAGTATTCCCTCACGTAATAGGCGCATGCGTTTTGCGGGGATACTGTCACCACCGTATATACAGAACCCATCATACTTCCACCAGTAAGCTAGTCTCTGTTGATTTGATCCCTTGCCTAGCAATCTGCACTTGTGCTATCTATGCATGTGTTTCGAAATTTAATTATTTTCCTCGATATTTGCAGCAAAATCAACTCTTGGATATCGCGAACCAAATCGGATGCTACAGGTATTCTCGCTGCGTTTGTCAAGCTCTGCATCATATCCTGTTAGTGTCTATGGAATAATCGCCGTTCGGGATTCCTTGGAGCCTCTGCGGAATTACGTGTTTAATCGTCCCTGCAGAGATGATGCTGTCACCATTGACCAGGTAATCAAGTTAGACATGGTTTATTTCCACATAACTTGTTTGTTGCTCAAGAATGATTGATGTTCAAATGTATGTGTGAGATGTATGTTGGTTATCTTCTTTCCTTGGATTGGATCGACTAAAAGTTAGTCATGTGTGCTCAGATTTTTACCTCTGTTTTTCGGGGTGAACCCATTTTGAAATAGTAACTATACTTGATCCCCAATATTCCTACAGTATATACTAATGTTTTGGGAACAAGGAAGTTAATAATATATGTGAATGTCTACTTATAAAAGTTGAAGCGGTTGGCAAGATATATAAATGATGGCAGAAGAGAAAAATGGCATGCATGTCTTGCATTTCAACACAAGTGAAATATATGCCTTATACTTTAAAAAGGAACTAGTTTTTTTATCTGAACATGATGTGCATTGTCTTATTTAGTTTGTTATATGTTGGCACAGGCTTGTATCTGAAATGTATCATGTTTAGTTCTAACAAGAGTTGTCAAATTGTAGGATTCCTTTATCCTACCCCTTTGTAGCCCTTGTCGAGGAATGTACTTACGGCAGGATGCATTACTAGAAGTTGATCTGTGGGTAAAGGAGGAAGGGGATGGATCGGCTGACAAACAAATACTTTCTGCGTATGCTGAGATTGAGAGCTGCCCAGCTTATGATGAAATGCTATATGGACAGATTCGTCATGGCCTGTTCAGCTTGGACATAGGCTACATATCATTTACAAGAAGTATCGAGGCCGTAATAGAAGTCTTTGCAAAGGTTGATGGTCCTCATCATGTGAGATTTGGTGCTTTCAGCAGTGGCTTTGATCATGAGATTGTGTTGTTTGATGACACATTCTCTGGGACTAAGATGCAGTTTCAGCATGTAGTCGTGGTGAAAGCAGAGGAAAAATTGGATGTTTGCTTAAAGTTGGGGGAATCACTCTTTCGGTGGAGTTTCCAAGATGGACATGTTGGACCTGTTAGGATTCCTGATGACTCGATGTCAAAGTATGGCCAGTTTGATGTGAGGGTGTTCTTTGCTCCTAAGAACTCGCGACCACCGAAATAAGTGAAGAAGACACCCCGTGCTGGATTGTGTGTTTTATTATCTCCTAACTAAGTACCTCCAGGGTGTTTTTTTGTAATCTGTAAATCCTCTGTCAAAACAGCAAAAGTTTGAGGTCAGACTTGTTGAAACTTGAAAATATTCTATGTTTGTCTGCATATCTTGCATTTGATTAGAGCTACTTGATCCGTTTTTTAATTTTCCCTTTAGTTTGGTTGCATCTTTGGTAGTTTCCATTGTAATTTTTGTTCTTTGGCGTTTTTCATGGAAATTTGTATTGCCGTGATTGAACAAACTATTGTTCCCCCGCATTATAAAAAGAAAAAGGAAATATATTGTTGATTTTTCTAGTGGCAAGTGAAAATTTACGATAAGTTATAGTTGGATTTTCAGATGACTATTTGATTGTCTTATCTTATGAGTATATTTCCTAACTATTTCGCCAAAAAAGGAAGTACCTTTCCTAGCTGCCCTAAAAAAAGAGTACATTTCCACTAGTAGAAAACAGGGATTTGGTTCAGGCCGGGTCAGCCCATTAGTCCCGATTCAGTCCAGAACCGGGATCAATGGGGGCATTGGTCCCGGTTCGTGAGCCCAGGGGGCCGGCCGGGCCACGTGGGTCATTGGTCCCGGTTCATCTGAACCTTTTGGTCCCGGTTGGTGGGATGAACCGGGACCAATGGGCCTCGCTCCTGGCCCACCACCATTGGTCCCGGTTGGTGGCTTGAACCGGGACCAAAGGCTCCCCTTTAGTCCCGATTCATGCCACCAACCGGGACCAATGAAGTGCCTATATATACCCCCTCGCGTAAGAGCAGAGCACACTGCTCTGTTTTTTTCTGGCCGAGGGGGAGAGGGCTTGGTGGTGCTCTAGCTCACCTCCTATGCACACAAGGTGTTCGATGGAATGCCCGAGCCACACTACTTAAGCTTTCCCCTCTCCAAGCTCCATTTTCCATAATATTTGTCTAGGTTTAGCGGTCTGTCACGCCCCGTCCCCGTCTTCACCACCGTCGATCACCCGCGCCGAGCTCATCGCCGGCACCACCGTGGTGAGCCTCTTGTTCTTATCTTCTTTCTGAAAGGAAAAATATTCTTACTTGTATGTTTACATAGATACTTGTATTATTTTCTTACTTTTATTATTGCATCTTATATAGTGCGATGGTTTTGGTATCCGCCCCCGTCGGCCCTCGTCCTGTCTATGATTCGGATGTGGTATATATATTATCTGTATAACTATTGGTTCATTTATTGTTTATGAAAATTATGCCGACCAACGTGACATAGATTTTATTTATGTAGGATGTATGTGAATCGGAAATGCCAACCGACCCTATTGTAGAGAGGTTAAATTTAGTTGAAGAAGAAAACAATTTGTTGAAGGAAAAAATAAAAAAATTAAGGAGGAGAAGATGATATTGGAGTTGCATGTTGCGGATGTCGTCGATGATCACAAAATCAAGATGAATGCAATGCACTTGAATTAGAAAGATTAGAAAATATGTCATTCATACCGAGGCTTGGTATCATTATGCCGTTGGATCAATTGTTACCTTGGTTGCGATTATGATCGCATTTGTTTTCGCATTGAAATGTTTTATATAGTTTCAATGTATGGTTTAATTAATTAGATGCTCTGGAGAGTTATATGTTGTTAGATGAGAACTATGTATGCACTTTGGTTTTAATGTGATGATGAACTTCTATTAATTTGGACACTTAATTATATATAATGCACGCAGATGAACCGGCAATGTATGTACGGTGACAGACACACCTGCGAGTACATTAAGGGCGTGCATGAGTTTCTCGATGCGGCTGAGGCAAACAAGCAGAATGGTTTTATGTGTTGTCCATGCACTGAATGTGGGAATATGAGGTCTTACTCTAACCGGAAAATCCTTCACTCCCACCTGCTTTACAAGGGTTTCATGCCACACTATAATGTTTGGACGAGGCGCGGAGAAATATGGGTTATGATGGAAGACGGTGAAGAAGAAGAGTACGATGACAACTATGTGCCCCCTGAATACGGTGATGCTGCAACGGGGGGAGCTGGTGAAGATTAAGAGGAACCAGACGATGTGCCCAATGATGCTGCAATGGGTGAAGCTACTGAAGATCAAGAGGAACCAGACGATGTGCCCGATGATGATGATCTCCACCGGGTCATTGTTGCAAGGACGCAATGCGAAAGTCAAAAGGAGAAGCTGAAGTTCGATCGCATGTTAGAGGATAAAAAAAAGGGTTGTACCCCAATTGCGAAGATGGCAACACAAAGCTCGGTACCGTACTGGAATTGCTGCAGTGGAAGGCAGAGAATGCTGTGGCTGACAAAGGATTTGAGAAGCTACTGAAAATATTGAAGAAAAAGCTTCCAAAGGATAACGAAGTGTCTGACAATACATACGCAACAAAGAAGGTTGTATGCCCTCTAGGATTGAAGGTGGAGAAGATACATGCATGCCCTAATGACTGCATCCTCTACCGCGGTGCATACAAGGATCTGAACGCATGCCCGGTATGTGGTGCATTGCGGTATAAGATCAGATGAGATGGCCCTGGTGATGTTGACGGCGAGCCCCCCAGGAAAAGGGTTCCTGCAAAGGTGATGTGGTATGCTCCTATAATACCACGGTTGAAACGTCTGTTCAGAAACGAAGAGCATGCCAGGTTGATGCGATGGCACAGTGAGAACCGAAAGAAAGATGGGAAGTTGAGAGCACCCGCTGACGGGTCGCAGTGGAGAAAAATCAAGAGAAAGTACTGGGATGAGTTTGCAAAGGACCCAAGGAATGTATGGTTTGCTTTAAGCGCGGATGGCATTAATCCTTTCGGGGAGCAGAGCAACAATCACAACACCTGGCCCATGACTCTATGTATGTATAACCTTCCTCCTTGGATGTGCATGAAGCGAAAGTTCATTATGATGCCAGTTCTCATCCAAGGCCCTAAGCAACCCGGCAACGACATTGATGTGTACCTAAGGCCATTAGTTGAAGAACTTTTACAGCTGTGGAATGGAAACGGTGTACGTACGTGGGATGAGCACAGACAGGAGGAATTTAACCTTAAGGCATTGCTGTTCGTGACCATCAACGATTGGCCCGCTCTCAGTAACCTTTCAGGACAGACAAACAAAGGATACCACGCATGCATGCACTGTTTAGATGACACTGAAAATATATACCTGGACAGATGCAGGAAGAATGTGTACCTGGGCCATCGTCGATTTCTTCCGACCAACCATCAATGTCGAAAGAAAGGCAAGCATTTCAAAGGCGAGGCAGATCACCGGAAGAAGCCCGCCATGCGTACCGGTGATCACGTACTTGCTATGGTAAATGATTTACACGTAATCTTTGGAAAGGGTCCCGGTGGACTAGCTGTTCCGAATGACGCTGAGTGACACGCACCCATGTGGAAGAAGAAATCTATATTTTGGGACCTACCCTACTGAAAAGACCTAGAGGTCCGCTCTTCAATCGACGTGATGCACGTGACGAAGAACCTTTGAGTGAACCTGCTAGGCTTCTTGGGCGTGTATGGGAAGACAAAAGATACACCTGAGGCACGGGAGGACCTGCAACGTTTGCACGAAAAAGACGGCATGCCTCCGAAGCAGTATAAAGGTCCTGCCAGCTACGCTCTTACGAAAGAAGAGAAAGAAATCTTCTTTGAATGCCTGCTCAGTATGAATGTCACGACTGGCTTCTCGTCGAATATAAAGGGAATAATAAATATGCCAGAGAAAAAGTTTCAGAACCTAAAGTCTCATGACTGCCACGTGATTATGACGCAACTGCTTCCGGTTGCATTGAGGGGGCTTCTACCGGAAAACGTCCGATTAGCCATTGTGAAGCTATGTGCATTCCTCAATGCAATCTCTCAGAAGGTGATTGATCCAGAAATCGTACCAAGGCTAAGGAGTGATGTGGCGCAATGTCTTGTCAGTTTCGAGCTGGTGTTCCCACCATCCTTCTTCAATATCATGACACACGTCCTAGTTCATCTAGTCGACGAGATTATCATCCTGGGGCCCGTATTTCTACACAATATGTTCCTCTTTGAGAGGTTCATGGGAGTCCTAAAGAAATATGTCTGTAACCGTGCTAGGCCAGAAGGAAGCATTTCCATGGGCCATCAAACAGAGGATGTTATTGGGTTTTGTGTTGACTTCATTCCTGGACTTAAAAAGATAGGTCTCCCTAAATCGCGGTATGAGGGGAGACTGACTAGAAAAGGCACTCTTGGAAGTGACTCAATAATATGCAGGGACGGATATTCTTGGTCTCAAGCACATTACACAGTTCTACAGAACTCTACCTTGATGACCCCGTATGTCGATGAACACAAGAACAGTCTGCGCTCCAAACACCCGGAGCAGTGCGACGACTTGATTACATGTGAACACATCAGGACTTTCAGCAGTTGGTTGGAAACACGTCTCAGAGGTGACAACACTGTTTGTGATGAGTTGTACTTGTTGTCCAGGGGACCATCTTTGACTGTATTGACTTACAAAGGATACGAGATAAATGGGAATACATTTTACACGATCACCCAAGATCAAAAGAGCACCAACCAAAACAACGGTGTCCGCTTTGATGCAGCAACCGAGAGCGAAAAGGACACATATTATGGTTACATAGTGGACATATGGGAACTTGACTACGGACCTGATTTTAAGGTCCCTTTGTTTAAGTGCAAATGGGTCAATCTGTCAGGCGGCGGGGTACAGGTAGACCTACAGTACGGAATGACAACAGTGGATCTGAAAAATCTTGGGTACACTAACGAACCGTTCGTCCTAGCCAATGATGTGGCACAGGTTATCTATGTGAAGGACATGTCTACCAAACCGAGAAAAAGAAAAGATAAGGAAGCGAATACATCATACGATGAGCCAAAGCGCCACATAGTTCTTTTAGGAAAAAGGGACATCCTGGGAGTGGACGGCAAGACAGACATGTCTGAAGATTACGAAAAGTTTCATGAAA